TTTTTTTTTTTTTTTGCTGGGACCGTCTCTGGTCCTTGCACGGGCTGGCCACCTGGGACCCGGGCGGCCCGGGTGGTAGCCTAGACGCAAACTGAATTGTTTGCGTTTTTTTTTTTTAAATATTTTTTTTATGAAGCAAGCGTCAATGATTAGGAGGATGAAAAGACAAGAAACCCTAAACCTCGAAAGAGTCGGAGCTTATTGAGAATCTTTATTGTTTTGTCTGTCTCTAATGAATTGTATGAAGATTTTGATATAGGGCGTTGCGACCTCCACTACTCACCACATGCATAGAAGAAAAAAAAAAGACAATGTGTGCGCGCTGTGCGGATAGTAGTTAGTATCATGCAGTGTGGTGTACAGAAGGGGTTAAACTTCCCTCCATCCCCCACCCCACCCCCGCCCTCCAACACCCTCCCCACCAAAAAAATAAATAAATAAAAATTTTAAAAATAAAAAAAAATATAATCTCAGAAGCTGATTGCAGTTTGCTGCAACTCTGCATCGTTTAAACTTAAAAGGTCGTTAAAATTTAAACAAAAGCTAGGCTACCACCTAGGCCGCCCGGGTCCCAGGTGGCCAGCCCATGCAAGGACGAGGGAAGGCCCCAGCAAAAAAAAAAATAAAAAAAAATCCAAAAAATCCCAACAAAAAACTATGTTATGCAGAAAAATAAACTGAACAACTTTTGCCTCAGGGCCCGGCCGGGCAAGTGACCCCGGGCCACTCTGGTAGCCTAGAACAAAAGCAAATTCAAATTTCAAATTTCGGACTTGAAAGTTGAAGCATTGAGAACGACTCCGCAAGTTGTGATTGTGAAATTCTGAAGTGGTACTTACTCTGGCATGCATGCACTCATCATGGCTGTCTGTCCAAAAAAAATTAAAAAAAAACAACGATGCATGTGATGTGCAGGGATTCTTCATATTGCTATCCTGGATGCCTGTCTACTTCAAAAAGGTAATGCTTTTTTTTCTGCAGCTTTGAAGTTTTCGCTCCTCGTCTCCTGTGATACATGTTGATGATGGCGTCTGTGTTCCTCCGCCCACCCCACCCCCGCTCTGGCTAGTCTGCGTTCCTCCCCCCCCCCCCCGCCCCCCCCCCCACCCAAAACCCAATCAATTTATTACGGGCCCATTGCCCATGGCAAGGACACAACAAGTTTATGAGCTCGAGTGAGAATGGAGGGGCCGCAAGGCGTCCAGCCTTTCACCTCGGGCAGAGCCCCTGTGTTTCCCCCCCCCGCGTTGTGTTGAGCGTGAAAGGACTTCAACTCGCCATCTTGCACTCAACAGCCGGATGCCTTAACCACTGCAACGGTGACCAAGTGCATTTTTTTTTGGCTTTGGTTGAGCCTGGAAGGAATCGAACTCGCGATCTTGCACTCCACAGCCGGATGCCTTGACCACTGCAACGCTGGTGATGGGTTGGTTCAGACATGGAATCATGCCTACCCGACGTGATATCCTCCCCCCCTCCTCCCCCCCTCCTCCCCCTCTCCCCCCTCCCCCCTGCATGGCTGGAGCATGAACAAACACTCCCCACAGAACATCACTTCAGAAGTTGAGATGAGACTCTCCGACCGACCATGTGGCCCTTCGCGCGGGGCCACCTGGCTGCGCAATTCCACGGCTAGGTACTCCTTGCTCAAGTACTAGTGTGTACCTTTCCCTTTGGTCGACCCTGATGGCTGTCTGAACTCTGAA